CCAAGACCGTTGAGCTCATCTCCCGGGACTTTCACTGGCCCCGGCTTCGTAAGTCTGTGCGTCGCTTCATTGCTAATTGTGAAGCGTGCCAGCGAGCCAAGCCGTCCCGTCACTCCCCTTATGGTTTACTTCACCCTCTCCCCGTTCCTTCCGAACGTTGGTGGGACCTGTCGATGGACTTCATCACGGATCTCCCACCTTCGAACGGCTTTGACTCCATCTTCGTGGTTAAGGACCGCCTGTCCAAACAAGCACACTTTGTGCCCACCACGAAGACGGTTACAGGCGAGCAAACCGCCGAACTCTTCCTCTCCCACATCTTCCGCTTGCATGGTTGTCCCCGGTCTATTGTTTCGGACCGAGGAACTCAGTTTACTTCGGCCTTCTGGAGGCGCTTCAATGAGCTTCTGAAGACGAAGATTTCCCTTTCTTCTGCCTTCCACCCCGAGACCGACGGTTCGACCGAGGTTCTCAACCAGGTCATCGAGCAGTATTTGCGTATCCATTGCAATTACCTGCAAGACGACTGGACCCTTCACCTTCCCCTTGCCGAGTTCACTTACAACAACTCGGAAAACACCTCCACTGGCATGACTCCCTTCTTTGCAGTCCATGGCCATCACCCCATTTTTGATCCCTCCATCATCCGTGATCCTTCTGTTGTGCCCTCTGCCGAAGAACGTGTCGACCGACTTCAGACCGTTCTCGAGGATCTCAAGGCCAACCTCCGGGTTGCCCAAGAGTCCTACACTTTGCAGGCCAACAAATCCCGTCTCCCCACTCCCGACATCTCCGTTGGCGACCTCGTTTTTCTTGATCGTCGCCACATCCGCACCCTTCGTCCCTCCAACAAGCTTGATCAGAAAAAGCTTGGCCCCTTTAAAGTTCTTCGCCGCATCAACCCCGTTGCCTTTGAACTTAAACTCCCTTCCACACTCAAAGTCCACCCCGTCTTTCATGTATCCCTCCTTGAACCCCGAACGAAGGACATTGTTCCCGAGTTCACCCAACCCGAACCTCCACCCATTCTTGTTGACTCCCAGGAAGAGTTTGAGGTCGAGACTGTTCTCGATTCTCGGCTCTTCCGTGGTCGCTTACAGTACTTGGTTCAGTGGAAGGGCTATTCCGAGACTGACCGGTCTTGGGAGCCCGCTGCCAATGTTTCCCACGCCACTGATCTTGTTGCTGACTTCCACCTTCGCTATCCCTCAAAGCCGAAGGCGACGCCCGGAGTTCGTCGCTAAGGAAGGGGATGATGTTAGGGATAGCTTCTGCTTGTTCTCCACTTTGACTGCACACTTGGCTGTTCTTTTGCCTTTCTGTTTGTTTGTGTGTAGCTTTGCAGTTCCCCTCCAATTTTCCGCCTTTTGCCTGCCATTTCCGCTCCTTCCGCACTTCCGTTTCCCCGCGCTGCTCCGCTTCCTTTGTCTTCTTCGCACGCGCCGGTTTGTTTGTGCACGCGCCTTGCTGCGATTGGTTGCAATTCGGCTGCCGGTCATGTGTCCCACCACCGGTGACTCATGACCTGCCTGACCGCCCCGATCTCTTGTTCATCTCGCATGCATTTGCCCCAACCTTATACTTGACCAATCCGCTTCTTGGACGTTGAGTCACATTGCTTCGCCTTTGCACGTTTCTCCTGCCAGGTGCTTCGCTTTTGCTTGCGCCTCCCTCGCTTTGGTTCTCTGCCTGTCTCGGTGGTCCTTCTCGGCCCTCGTTCGTGCATCGCCCCCTTCGCCCTGCTCGATCGCCCACTTTTCCCTCCCTTGGCCGCCCTTCGCTGCCAAGTCCGGACTTGTCTATAAATAGCCTGACCCCCGCGATGTGTAGTCGAACCTCAGCGTTCAAAATAGGACTAAATAAAGTGCCTTCTACTTTATTCTCTGAGTGTTCCTCACGTCTCATTTCGAGACTAGTCTTATCTTGAACGGATCTTTGCTTCCCTCGCTCCCTCTCCGAGTCCACTTCGGACTTTACCCTTGCCTTCCCTGAGCTCACTTCGAGCTCACTTCTTCTTTTGCCGTTGAGTCCCCTTCGGACTCTAACACCCGAGCCAGTCACCGTATGGTGCACCAGTGCTCTTTGTCAAGAAGAAAGAAGGTGATCTCAGGATGTGCGTCGACTATCGCGCACTAAACAAACAGACCATCAAGAACACCTACCCGTTGCCCAGGATCGACGAGTTGATGGATCGTCTGAGTGGAGCAAAGGTCTTTAGCAAGATAGACCTCCGCTCAGGCTACCATCAGATCCGCATCCACGAGGATGATGTCCACAAGACCGCCTTCAGGACTCGCTACGGACTGTACGAGTTCCTAGTGCTGCCGTTCGGATTGACGAACGCACCTGCCACGTTCATGCAGCTGATGAACGATGTGTTCCGCCAAGAGCTCGACAACTCTGTCATCGTGTACCTGGATGATATCCTTGTGTACAGCAAGGATGAAGCGACCCATGAAGGTCATGTCGCCCGCGTGCTGGCCAAGCTACGCGAGCACAAGTTGTATGCCAAACTGTCCAAGTGTGAGTTCTTCAAGAATCAAGTCCCGTTCCTGGGACACGTTGTCTCAGGAAGAGGAATCGAAGTCGACCCCGCCAAGGTCAAGTCTGTGGTCGAGTGGCCGCCGCTCGCATGCGTCTCTGACGTGCAGTCGTTTCTCGGTCTCGTCAACTACTACCGCCGATTCATCCCCGATCTGGCGCGCACTGCCGGTCCACTCACAGACCTACTCCGCAAAGAGTGCCCCTTCGTGTGGGACCACCCACAACGCCAAGCGTTCGAGACCCTCAAGCACGCCTTGACGAACGCTCCTGTCCTCGCTGTGTTCGACCCGAACACGGATGTCTCCGTGCACACCGACGCCTCCGACTTTGCGGTGGGAGCTGTTTTGATGCAGGAGGGAAGGCCCGTTGCCTTCGAGTCGCGCAAACTGTCCCAACACGAGATCAACTATCCCGTGCACGAGAAGGAGCAGCTTGCGATCATCTACGCGCTGCAGAAGTTCCGAGTGTACCTCCACGGTACCGCCAAGCCCTTCAAGATTGTGACGGACCACCAGTCACTGCGTTACCTCGACACCAAGAAGAACCTGAGCCGACGCCAAGCGCGATGGATGGAGTTCCTCGCCGAGTACAACTACGAGGTTGTATACCAGAAAGGCAAACTCAATGTGGTGCCTGACGCACTGTCCCGACGCCCCGACTACCAATTGGCGTCACTGTACGAGTCGACTGTCAGTGTCGACAACACGATGCTGGATGTTGTCCGAGACAACATCGCCAACGACAAACAGTTCGGAGAACTGTTCCGAAAGGTGTCTAAGCTCCCCAAGGACGACGAATCATCCGAGTACACAGTGCGTGATGGCCTGCTCCTCCTGAAGAAGGACAGCCGTGTCTGTGTGCCGGACATTCCGTCGTTGAAGACCAAGTTGCTCCAAGAGGTCCACGACTCGCCCCTCGCTGGACACTTTGGAGTCGAGAAGACATACGACCGACTGGCCAAAGTCGCATACTGGCCTGGAATGAAGCGCACCGTCGAGAAGTACATCGAGTCCTGCCATACCTGCAAGATGGTCAAGTCACGCACGACCCGAGAGCAAGGATTGCTGCAACCCCTGCCTGTTCCCGACCGCCCCTGGACCAGCATGTCCATGGATCTCATCACGCATCTACCGACGACCAAGTTGGACCACGATGCAATCGCTGTCTTTGTCGACAGGTTCAGCAAGATGGCACACTTTGTGCCGTGCCAGACGACATGCTCCGCGCCTGACCTTGCACTGCTGTTCTTCAAGCATGTGTTCAAGCACCACGGCCTCCCAAAGTCCATCGTCAGTGATCGAGACCCCCGATTCACCTCCTTGTTTTGGACAAGTCTGTTCGACCATCTCGGCACCAAGCTGAACATGTCAACCTCGCACCACCAACAAACGGATGGACAGTCCGAGCGGACGATCCGCACCCTCGAGCAATACCTGAGGACATACGCCTCGACCAGCCAAGACGACTGGGACATACAGCTGAGTCATGCAGAGTTTGCATACAACACCGCCAAGTCGAGCACAACTGGCTTGAGCCCCTTTGAGGCGCTCTACGGATTCCAGCCTGATGTTCCCACCTCCTTGACACTGACCGAGTCCACGGCTGGATTGCCTCCCAAACCAAGTGCCTTTGTCAAAGATCATCAAGTCCGACACAAGATGATCGCCGACGCGCTCACGGATGCGCAACAAGTGATGGCGAAGTACTACGACCGCCGACACCAGGATGTCTCCTTTGAAGTTGGAGACCTTGTCTACCTGGACGCCGACAACATCAAGGTCCCCGAAGCCCAGTCAAAGAAGTTGTTGCCCAAGTACCGAGGACCGTTCAAGATAGCGGCCCGACCCAGTCCCCTCAACTACCTGTTGGACTTGCCACCTGGAAGCAAGCTCCATCCTGTCTTCCATGTGTCCAAGCTGCGTCGCCACACGACCCGCAGTCCAGCACAGTTCCCCGACGCCGACGAAGGTGTCCCGGACGACGCACCACTGGAAGACGACCTCGGACAATACTATACTCAAGAATATGAAGTCGAAAGGATCGTGAGGCACAAGAAAGTGGCTGATGGGTCACTTCGGTTTTATGTCAAGTGGGTTGGTTACCCACACTCGGGCAACACATGGCAAACACTGGAGGACTTGTCCCATGCACCCGAGGAGCTGAGTAAATACGGTAAACACCTCGAGGAGCCCCAAATAAAGAGCACACGCAGGGCTCCTCGCAGGAAGCCTTCTTAAGTGTGGGAGTGTAGGAGATGGTATCTCCGACGCTGTGCTGCGCGTACTGCGCGTACTGCGCGGCGCAGTGGGTCGTGACCTGTGCTGCGCTTTGCGTTTTCACGCACCGCAGGCAGGCCACCGCAGGGTATACCTGCGGGTTGCCCCCGTTCCCCCCGTTTGTCTGGAGTTCGGTTTTATCGTGAATAAACGTAAGTGCTCCCCGAGCTCACCCGTCCGCTAGAGTAGCCTAGCACCGCCCTGTTCTGCCCCGTCCTGTCTTGTCTTGTACCCCCTCCCTCCCCGTCTTGCCCCAACGTCCCAGTAGTGGACGTTACAAAAGGAATAGGCCGCATTCGATGTGCCCGTTGGAATCACACCCGAGGGCATGTTCAGGTACGAGAGCGTGCCCCATCCACGACTGCCGCTACAGACACAGCAAGACGAGTTGACACTATAGAAGCCGTATGCCGTGGAGTTGGTCAGATACATGACCGGCTGTGCACCCGTGGTGGTCTGCGTGCAGTGGTTTCCGTTGCCGGACTGGTCATACCACTTGGTTACATAGGCCGTCGCCGTGCTGATCCAGGTGCTGTACGGACTCTGGTGAGCGCTGTCGATAAAGAGGTTGCCGCCCATGTCTGCGTAGACGTCGCTACTGGTACTGTCGCTGCTCCGCATGATGTTGATCACGGGGCCGGTGTAGGTGGTCGTGAGCAGGAAGAGTGCATATGCACCCGAGCAGTTGCTCTTGGCCGTCGATGACACCTGGTCCAGAATGCACATCTCCGAGACCGGAGCCGGTTGCTGCGGGATGTTGCTCGTGAACGAGGACGGACTCGCGACGACGCTGTAGATGGTGCGGGTCGAGTTGGTCAGCACCGTGTCTGGGCTGTAGTTGTCGCTGCGGAAGAGCACGGTGCTCGATGTGTTAATGCACGAGAAGATCAGACCCGCCGTCGACCCTGTGCTGTTCCAGCAGAGAAACTCAAACACATTGAGTCCCGGCACGAGCGTGACCGCAATCTTGGTGTACTGCGCGCCGTAATACCACTTGGTGGATCCGACGAGGATCTTGTTCTGGTAAATGAGACTGGCATCGTCGACGATCGCATAGAGTGTGGCACTCACATTCGACGTGCTGGTGTTGCTGTAGCTCACGATAAAGTTGATAATCACATAGTTCGACGCACTGGTCGCTGCACTCGTCGTGTTCCAGAGCCAGCGCGCTGACGAGTCGGGCATCTGGCTCGACGTGAGCAACCACGGACTCATGTTCCAGGCACCAAGATCGCGGGCATAGAACCCTTCGTCACCAGGGCTGCTACCCCATGTGACACTGGTCGAGAATGATCCCGTGTTGTTGAGTCCACAGAGGGCAGCCGCCTGGCCACCGTAGAACTGAGAGAGCTTGACTGCACCACTCGAGCTCACTCCGGGTGCTGCTGTTCGCAGCTGGCTGAACGAGAAGGTGCGGGGCGTGAAGATGAGCGAGAGTCTGTCAAACCACACCTGCATGGTCTGCGTCGAGCCGCACTGCGCCACAGCGTTGAAATACGTCCCCATACCCGTCGCCGTCGTGGCATAGCTCGAGTCGCTCCAAGTCAGGACGGCGCTGCCAGAGACATAGACAACCCATGTGTTGGTGGCCTGGTAGTTGTAGATGATCTGGAGACTGGTCCAGGTGCTCGCGGATATGCCGCTCAGTCCGGTGGAGCTGTAGGCCACGGCCGTGCCGCTCTTGATGATATACACCCCAGCACCCGAGTACGACCCGCTCGAGAAGCTGCTGTTGTAGTTGAAATACACTGCGACACTACCGCTGGTGAGTGTGGCACCCGAGGAACTGGAGCCAAAGATGAAGAACCAGCCGTTGGCAGGGGTCGACCCCACATACCAAGCACCACACTCGAATGACATGTACGAGTACTTGCCGACCGGGACAGCGGACGAGTAATAGTACCCGGTCTGGTTGGTAGCTGTACCCGGAATCATTTCGGCTTGTATGTACGGATCGTACTGGCTGCCGGCTGGCTGTGTCGCAACGCCCGCGATGGTCAACAAGCTGTACCAGTTGAAGAAATTGAAGAGCGTCTGCACGGGTGAGCCATAGGTGACCAGCTTGATGTTGCGGAAGTATTGGTTTGTCGAGGCACCGTATCCCATCGATGCGACACCCCAGTAGCTTCCAGAAGCTGACAGGAATGCGGTGTGGTTTGGATCGGAGTAGGTGTACAGGAGCGATGGTGTGGTCGGGGCACCGCTTGTGCCAATCGAGATGGCCCATGTGTTGTTGGGGCTGCGGTTGTAGACGATCTGGACTGAGTACCAGGTCCCGCTGCCGACGGTGGCGCTGGTGTTGACCCAGACCTTGGATGCCGTGGTGCTGTTGGTGACTCGCCGTGTTGCAGTGGTGTCGTAAAAGTGGATACCCTGTCCCTGCGTGCTGCCGGACCAGATCTCAAAGTTGAATCCACAGGCCGGCGCCGCGAACGAACTCGATGGATTCATGATCGCCGACGTGTTGCCAAAGAAGATATTGGAGCTGTCGGCACTTGCGTTGTCTGTGGAGATCTGGAAGGTGAGCGTGAATGACGCATAATCCTGCACACGCAGCTGCTGTGAGATGCCGGTCATGCTCGAGGTGATCGAGCTGGATGTCATCTGCACCTGGCGAGTCGGGTCACTGCCGGTGATCGTAGGTGTGTACGAGCCGCTCAGAACACCTGTGCTCATCTTGCTGTACCATGTGTATTCGTTAACGGGCACATCGGGCGGATAATACTCTCTGGCCACCTGCGATGCTGCTATGGAACCAGACGTTTGAAGGACCATCTTGAGCTCTGACAAGGGGCGTAGATGAAAAAAATCCCAAGTACACCTCAGTCAAACACAGCCACCAGACATGCCCAAATCCACAACCAAAAAGTACAGCGCAAGACGCCAAACAAAGCACAGATCAAGACGATCTCGAACACATCGTGGTTGTAACGTCCACTACTGGGACGTTGGGGCAAGACGGGGAGGGAGGGGGTACAAGACAAGACAGGACGGGGCAGAACAGGGCGGTGCTAGGCTACTCTAGCGGACGGGTGAGCTCGGGGAGCACTTACGTTTATTCACGATAAAACCGAACTCCAGACAAACGGGGGGAACGGGGGCAACCCGCAGGTATACCCTGCGGTGGCCTGCCTGCGGTGCGTGAAAACGCAAAGCGCAGCACAGGTCACGACCCACTGCGCCGCGCAGTACGCGCAGTACGCGCAGCACAGCGTCGGAGATACCATCTCCTACACTCCCACACTTAAGAAGGCTTCCTGCGAGGAGCCCTGCGTGTGCTCTTTATTTGGGGCTCCTCGAGGTGTTTACCGTATTTACTCAGCTCCTCGGGTGCATGGGACAAGTCCTCCAGTGTTTGCCATGTGTTGCCCGAGTGTGGGTAACCAACCCACTTGACATAAAACCGAAGTGACCCATCAGCCACTTTCTTGTGCCTCACGATCCTTTCGACTTCATATTCTTGAGTATAGTATTGTCCGAGGTCGTCTTCCAGTGGTGCGTCGTCCGGGACACCTTCGTCGGCGTCGGGGAACTGTGCTGGACTGCGGGTCGTGTGGCGACGCAGCTTGGACACATGGAAGACAGGATGGAGCTTGCTTCCAGGTGGCAAGTCCAACAGGTAGTTGAGGGGACTGGGTCGGGCCGCTATCTTGAACGGTCCTCGGTACTTGGGCAACAACTTCTTTGACTGGGCTTCGGGGACCTTGATGTTGTCGGCGTCCAGGTAGACAAGGTCTCCAACTTCAAAGGAGACATCCTGGTGTCGGCGGTCGTAGTACTTCGCCATCACTTGTTGCGCATCCGTGAGCGCGTCGGCGATCATCTTGTGTCGGACTTGATGATCTTTGACAAAGGCACTTGGTTTGGGAGGCAATCCAGCCGTGGACTCGGTCAGTGTCAAGGAGGTGGGAACATCAGGCTGGAATCCGTAGAGCGCCTCAAAGGGGCTCAAGCCAGTTGTGCTCGACTTGGCGGTGTTGTATGCAAACTCTGCATGACTCAGCTGTATGTCCCAGTCGTCTTGGCTGGTCGAGGCGTATGTCCTCAGGTATTGCTCGAGGGTGCGGATCGTCCGCTCGGACTGTCCATCCGTTTGTTGGTGGTGCGAGGTTGACATGTTCAGCTTGGTGCCGAGATGGTCGAACAGACTTGTCCAAAACAAGGAGGTGAATCGGGGGTCTCGATCACTGACGATGGACTTTGGGAGGCCGTGGTGCTTGAACACATGCTTGAAGAACAGCAGTGCAAGGTCAGGCGCGGAGCATGTCGTCTGGCACGGCACAAAGTGTGCCATCTTGCTGAACCTGTCGACAAAGACAGCGATTGCATCGTGGTCCAACTTGGTCGTCGGTAGATGCGTGATGAGATCCATGGACATGCTGGTCCAGGGGCGGTCGGGAACAGGCAGGGGTTGCAGCAATCCTTGCTCTCGGGTCGTGCGTGACTTGACCATCTTGCAGGTATGGCAGGACTCGATGTACTTCTCGACGGTGCGCTTCATTCCAGGCCAGTATGCGACTTTGGCCAGTCGGTCGTATGTCTTCTCGACTCCAAAGTGTCCAGCGAGGGGCGAGTCGTGGACCTCTTGGAGCAACTTGGTCTTCAACGACGGAATGTCCGGCACACAGACACGGCTGTCCTTCTTCAGGAGGAGCAGGCCATCACGCACTGTGTACTCGGATGATTCGTCGTCCTTGGGGAGCTTAGACACCTTTCGGAACAGTTCTCCGAACTGTTTGTCGTTGGCGATGTTGTCTCGGACAACATCCAGCATCGTGTTGTCGACACTGACAGTCGACTCGTACAGTGACGCCAATTGGTAGTCGGGGCGTCGGGACAGTGCGTCAGGCACCACATTGAGTTTGCCTTTCTGGTATACAACCTCGTAGTTGTACTCGGCGAGGAACTCCATCCATCGCGCTTGGCGTCGGCTCAGGTTCTTCTTGGTGTCGAGGTAACGCAGTGACTGGTGGTCCGTCACAATCTTGAAGGGCTTGGCGGTACCGTGGAGGTACACTCGGAACTTCTGCAGCGCGTAGATGATCGCAAGCTGCTCCTTCTCGTGCACGGGATAGTTGATCTCGTGTTGGGACAGTTTGCGCGACTCGAAGGCAACGGGCCTTCCCTCCTGCATCAAAACAGCTCCCACCGCAAAGTCGGAGGCGTCGGTGTGCACGGAGACATCCGTGTTCGGGTCGAACACAGCGAGGACAGGAGCGTTCGTCAAGGCGTGCTTGAGGGTCTCGAACGCTTGGCGTTGTGGGTGGTCCCACACGAAGGGGCACTCTTTGCGGAGTAGGTCTGTGAGTGGACCGGCAGTGCGCGCCAGATCGGGGATGAATCGGCGGTAGTAGTTGACGAGACCGAGAAACGACTGCACGTCAGAGACGCATGCGAGCGGCGGCCACTCGACCACAGACTTGACCTTGGCGGGGTCGACTTCGATTCCTCTTCCTGAGACAACGTGTCCCAGGAACGGGACTTGATTCTTGAAGAACTCACACTTGGACAGTTTGGCATACAACTTGTGCTCGCGTAGCTTGGCCAGCACGCGGGCGACATGACCTTCATGGGTCGCTTCATCCTTGCTGTACACAAGGATATCATCCAGGTACACGATGACAGAGTTGTCGAGCTCTTGGCGGAACACATCGTTCATCAGCTGCATGAACGTGGCAGGTGCGTTCGTCAATCCGAACGGCAGCACTAGGAACTCGTACAGTCCGTAGCGAGTCCTGAAGGCGGTCTTGTGGACATCATCCTCGTGGATGCGGATCTGATGGTAGCCTGAGCGGAGGTCTATCTTGCTAAAGACCTTTGCTCCACTCAGACGATCCATCAACTCGTCGATCCTGGGCAACGGGTAGGTGTTCTTGATGGTCTGTTTGTTTAGTGCGCGATAGTCGACGCACATCCTGAGATCACCTTCTTTCTTCTTGACAAAGAGCACTGGTGCACCATACGGTGACTGGCTCGGGCGGATGAACCCATGGGCGAGGAGGTCATCCAACTGGCGCTTGAGTTCGTCCATCTCCGTCAGCGACAGTTGGTACGTCGGTCTTGACGGAGGCGACGAGCCTGGTTCGATGTCGATGCGATGATCGACGGTGCGTTGGGGTGGCAGGCATTGTGGCAACTGGTCGGGGAATACGTCCTTGTACTCGTCGAGCAGCTTGGTCACCACAGGCGGGGGACCGGGACCGGCTTGGTCGGTGTCGTCGACCTCACGCACGACACAGAGGAACGACGTGTCCTTCTTGATCAGCCTCTTGAATTGCATGGCTGAGAGGAGAGGTGGCATGTTGGGTGAGGCCATGCCCTGCAGGACAATGTCAGGGCCAACACGGACAGTGCGGCCTTTCCAGTCGACGACTGGAGTCGGCTCGGCACGAGCAAGCCAGCTCATGCCGAGGATGGCATCGAACTTGGTGTCGATCACTTGGAACAACAGGACAGGATGGTACTTGGGATGGAGGGCCACTCGCAGGACCACTTGGTGTGTGCACTGCTGCACACGATCGTCTGCAAGCGCCACACTCATCGGCGACTTCTTCTTGGTTGCATGTATGTTGAGCTCCTGGAGCAAGCGTCTGCTGACAAAGTTGCAGCTTGCTCCAGAGTCCACCATCATTCGGACGGTGTGACCTTGGACGGTGGCAGGGAGGTACAGCAGGGACTCTTCATGGTCCTCCTGCACAGCCTCCTGCACCATGACTTGACTTGGGGGAACGGGCGACACTTGGTCTTGGTTGGCTTCATCACGGCCACTCGGACATTTTGGATAGGGTTCGGCCATTGCGGGGGCCTGCGGCGTCAGCACGCCATTGCACACGACGTCCACGGCTTGCGGACACATGTCGGAAGCATCCGACACACACGACTTGACAGGGGTGAGGGCACAGGCGGTCCTGTCCCTCAAGGGTTCTTGATTTTCTTTTTTGTTTTGGTTTTCAATTTTGGTTTTCTCTTCACGTTCGTGGAGAGGCAGGCGGCTTGCGCCACCATGCACCTCTCGCACGACGCACAACACTTGGTTTGTTTCTCCTTCGGGGGAGGGGGCGAGGTGAACTTCCTCTGGAGACGCGTGGACTGCATTGAGCAATCCACGGCGTTGGTCTCCTACTAGGGCTCCAGAGCCACCTAGTAGGGTCGGCCGTTTCCCGACTTCATGGGGCACTCCTTGGCCTGGTGTCCCGGTCGGTGACAGAAGAAGCAGGAACCATGGCGGAGGTCCTCCTGCTTCTGTCTGTCCTTGGGGGAGACAGTGGCAGCTTGCTGGAACCGGGAGCGGGGAGGGCCACGAGCCTCCATGGCGTTGACGTCAACGTCCATGGGCTCAGGCATGGGTCTTGCGGGCGGGGCCGGGCGAGGCGGACGGGCTGGGACGTGATGAGACCGATGGCCGCCTGCCAGCTGCGGGTAGAACTGGCGGCCATGGTACTGGACGTTGTCGAGGTTCTCGGCAACGTCCATCATCACGTCCAGGGACTTGCGGGCATCAGGGTTGCTGGCGATGTACTCTCTGATCTTGGGCTTGAGGCCCTTCTGGAAGAGGTACATCGCATCAGCAGAGCCCAGCTCCTCAATCTGGGAGGAGAGGTCTTCAAACTCCTCGATGTAGCGGGTCACAGAACCACGCTGCACGAGAGAGTATAGCTTGTCACGGGCAATGAGTT